AAACTAGGCCAAGCAAAGTCAAGGAAGCCAGTGACAACCTCTTTAAATCTAATAATATTAGGGTGCCTTAAAGACCTGTGGTTGACAATTTCCCTCTGCACATTTTCATCTATCTGCAACAAAAAGTATGAGAAAGGTTATTGCTTGTAATTTTGAAAGTTGAAACAACTAATTAAAGGACCCCAAAAAAGGACGTGATAAAAAATATAATAATATAATACATGACAAACTAGAAAGATATAGATTATCCAAGTTGAACACAACCCTACAACAAAGGAATTTCACTTAAACGAGGAGAACAAAGCATTAGAAAGCTGTGGGAGCATAAAATTTACATATATATGCATATATTTTGTGTGTGATGAAGTTGTAACACTTGGATAAAAGATAAAACCAGAAGCATTGCATCAAGATATTTCATGATTTATAGGAACAACAAATTAATGCCAACAAAATGATTATGACATGTGTTCTACATCATCCTGTCCTAAGCACATTCCCTTCCGAAAACTATACACTTATCAATAACTCAGATAACACGAGGTGCTGGCTTTTGTAAGAGTTGACCTGCATGTCAGCAAAGGTTAGAATAGTAACTTGCCATCATGGATGTAACTTACAGCAACTTACTTACAACTTAATTACCAAGTGCTCGACTAAAATCATCAAATGCTACTAAACATTAATGTTAAATGCAATGAGAACAATATGTGCATTTCAGAGGATTTGAAACTAGTGCCTCAACTCTAAGACAAAAGAGACAAAGAAAACTCTTAGAGATATTAGAAATTTTCAAGTCATAGGGAAACAAAAGGCATATAACTTTAAGCTTAAAGTCATTAGTAGAGGGAGGAAAAATAAGGTAAAAGATGATACACTAAATCAATGATAATAATGCATGCTGGATACACACCAAAAAGAACGAAGTTAGCTCTAAAATTAACTGAACAGAGTTAAACAACTCAATTATTAGGAAACAAAAAGTTACAAAACTGACCTGGATGCCTTGCTCAATGTACTTAATTGCAACCCTCTCAATACTCTTTTTATCCCTCATAAGCCTGGCTATCCCACAACTACCAGATCCAATATCCCTAATAAAAATATATTGATCGCTATCATGTTCAATTGGAAGGGTACTGTGATACTTATATCTGCCTGAATCCATCTTTATATCTAATTAAAACCCACACTACAACTTTTGACAAGTTAATCAGCCCATTCACAGAAATAATCGGTCACTGCTTATGACTACCAGCTATGAAAGAGAACGATCACTAAATTAAATGGACCCATCCTCTGTTTTGAATATGGAGTTAATTGATAGTGTAATAATGTGCTTGGTAACATTTCTAGAGAATGATAGATTCTTCAATAAATACGAAAAATTAACAGCCACCTTAGCAAGTAAAACCAGACAGAAAAGAAACAGTCCTGCTTACAAGCTGGGAAGAGAATAAATACAAGATATGTCAGGTAAGTGAGACTGTTAAAAAGGAGATCTTTCAAAAAGATTTGAAAAATCAATTCGCTAAAATGCCTCGACAGTATCAGTATGAGTATTAAACCCTATTCTCCATGGCACATTCATGAAGGCATGAGCTTTATCAAAGACATAAATAAGAACTGCAAAAATTTCAATTCCTCTGAAGTCACAGAATCCAAACATGTCTATGTTTCTTGAAGAGACAATTGTTAAAGAATAACTGGATTCAAAAGCACCAAACAGAGATAAACTAACGTATAAGAGCTTCTGAACCTGCAGTAAAAGAAAAAGTTAATTGCTCGCAATATGCACGTTTGGCAGCATTATTCCTCCCAAAATGGGAAAAAAGCTAACTTCCACAAAGACTAATCTCACACCATGACGAATCAACCAAATTCCCTAAAACAACTTTCCATATTTGCGCAGGCAAGAATAATCATGCTTATTAACTAAATCAGCTTCAATACCAACTTCAATAATCCAATAAACCCACCATAAATGGATTTAAAGAGCAAATCAGCAGACATGCAAGAAAAAGAAATGAAAATAAAAACAAAAAGATGCTATCTGGGCAATTAATCACAAAAACTAACCTTGTCCCCTCGCTCAATATACTTGACCGCAACAAGCTCCTTCGTTTGCTTATCAGTCATCAATCGGGCCACGCCGAAGTTACCCGACCCGATATCCCGAACGAAGTCGTACCGATCGCTGTCGTGCATGATCGGCATCTCCATACCCGGACCCGCTGTCACTGCCGCCCGATCCATACCGGCCGATAATATCACATGAGCTTAACTTCGATTGAGAAAAAAAAAAAAAAACTTTAAACTCAGCTCATTCACATTAATCAGCTGGCTAACGAACACCGTGCTTGCCCGCCGGCGGTTGTTCGACGGTTGACCCGATGGAGGGGAAGGCGGAGAAGGCGAGGGGTTCGCGTCTTTTCAGGTGGGTGAAAAGGCGGTTGCTTGGGTACTTTTGATTATTTTAATTGGGAGGGAGAGTGAGATATTTTTATGGAGTTTCTGTGGTCGGCTGATGTCTGCGATTTTTCTTTTCTTTTTTATTTTATTTTGTTTTAGTTTTTATTTGCAGTGTGGGGGGTGATGGAGAAGAAAGTGAAGCTGGCTATACGGCGTCATTTGATCGAGGCGGGGGAATATCGGGTACGGGGACGTCCACCATATTAAGATGCACCCACTCACGTGATTGGACGGGATCTTTCCGTACTGGATTTTTGTTTTATTTGTTGTAAGCGACGGAAGTACCATCGTCTAGATAAACCCTCGGTGTGCCAAACAATGAAGGACCATTCTAATTTGACCTAGTGGTTGCGTAATAAATAAATTGATTAGGCAACATTAGGCTGTGCACAACATAACCAACCCACGATAAGCGTATATCGTTTTATTTATTATTGTTGGCGATCGATTACCAACTATTATTAGTTACGCTTTAATAGACGATTTAATCAAAAATTACGAAATAATTAATGTAATAAAAAAATTAAAACGGATTAACAATAAAGTAATAAAGATTATGAGGAAATAAATAAGGAAGAGTGACACTCATTTGCCAATATGTAGATGAGATCGACAAGAAGAGTAGAATTATTCAGAAAAGTATATTGAGAGTATATGTTGTGCTAGTGGTGTTTTTTTTAATGGTATTTGTGTTTGTGATCGTGTCTTGTGAGGGCATGATTTGCCGTATTTATACACAAAATGGTAAAGATACAATAAATGTTATAGGCCAACTAAGGGCGTTGGATTGACGCATGTATCCATGCAAGTTCTCGACTTTTGATGATGTTAAAGATTGAGTGGTTACTTTATCAGTATGCTTTAATGGTTCCATGTTCACACAAAGGAGATCGTCATTCTTCCATGGGAAGATATAAGGTTGGATTGACATTCTTTAATGACCGATTATCGAATGAAGATATCGGTAGGTCTTGCCAACGATGCTTCCTAGGCCGCTCCTTTCTCGAGTTTGTAGGCCCATAGGAGAAGACTTTTAAATATCTATTTTTCCCAATCTCAATGGGCCGTTTGAGAGTCCATAAGAATTTTTATGTACAACAAGGACTCCCTCAGGTTTCCAGGGATTGAGAGGATCGCCGATACGCCTGGGTCTGCATGGGTCGCGTCCAAGATCCTCGCGGGTCATCGCGGTCGGGTGCGGTGTCGTCGGGCACAGGTCGTCAGGGGTCTGCGCGGGGATGCACATGTCGCGTTGGTCGAGCGAGCGTCTGCGTCTGGTCGCCGATCGTTGGGAACCCGTGCGTCGCGGGGTGGTCGCGGTCGCCGTGAGTGATTTTTTATGGCCAAAGGTTGGTCGCCAGAATATTTTTCCAAGGATAATGTATTCGTCGGGATATCGAAATATTATACCTTATGATCTTCTAAAGTATTACCCCTACTCCTACTTCAAATAATCTTGGTAGTGCGACTAAACGGAACTCCCGAAACCTCCTAAATGTTTCACTCAATTTTTTCCTCACTTTCAAGACTAAAAATCGGATGGCTTATTGTATGTGTAGGAGGTATTGTGACTTGGTGTATTTATAGGCTACAACATAGACCCTAAGGAGGTTCTAAATATGGACTTCTCTAAATAGGTTTAGGAATCCTTATGTTTTCCAACTCATTAATCTTCTAGAAGTCCTAATGCCTTTCAACTTAGTTACTGATGTAGAATAATAAAAATAATAATAATAATAATAATAATAATAATAATAATAATAATAATAATAATAATAAATCATTATTATTATTATTATTATTATTATTATTATTATTATTTAGTAGATTGGTGAACAAGTTAGGTTTAGGGCTTTAGGAGTCTTATTTAAATACTTTTTCTTCTTTGTTATTTGCAGTGAATTTGATAATAAGAATTGATTGACTCTTGTGAGTTTTATCGAGAGAGTATCTCGTTTATCCTTCTCATTCGTACGCTTCCCTACATCAGTTGGTATCAACAGTCAGTAAGATTCACGATGTCACCGGGACGACAAGATGCTGCAAACAAATGACGTGATGCAACCTTCAACGATCAGTTTAAACAGATCGACTACCGATTTGAACAATTGGACGTGCGTTTCACCGACTGGTTTGCGGATCTTTCGACTGGGATTAAGGATTTGCGTTTAACGCTTAACAACGTGGTCTGAGATTTGCAGATGAACCGTGCCGCCGGCGACCGGGGTGTGCGCAGGGGAGTTCACGGAGGAAGTGGAGGAGGTCGTGTTCCAGGCGGGGCGCCCTTCGTCGATCTCCACAACCGCCGTCCGGCGATGCAGACGGCGAGGAGACCATCTCGGAGGTGAATCCCTTTGGAGAGTGGCCGCCTCCGCCCATCAAGACTAAACTCGTTGTTGCGCACGACGACCAGTGCAGCAACAGAGTGTGATTTTTGAGGAAAATGACGGGCTATTGTACGACGACCCGCCTATTTTCGGTGAGGAGCCTCCGGTGACGAAGACATATTTTTGCGGCAATATGGGTCCCGCATGGGACATCGCAGAAGTTGAGCCTTTGACGAAGATGCCATCATTGAAACCCGATGTTTGAAGTATCTTGACCAACAATGGTTTTTGGGAGCCGAAGTCGAGGCTCAATAGGTCATTTTCCGATTGTCTAATCTGAAGTCTCCCAACAACGGGATGTTTGGCCGTAGTTATAGATTTGAGTGCGGCGAACAGTGTGGTATGTTTTGTGTTAATTCAGCTGTGTGGGTTATGCGTATGCAGGCGTGTACATGTGCATTTGCAGCAGTTCAATCCTTGACCGAGATTATGTTTATTTTCGGGGTTGTTGGGCGACCTTCAACCTTCGTGTTTGATCGGGAGAAACGTTGGGCTATTCGTGTCATGAGACGTCTCCAGCGGGAATAAGTTATTTAGTAGATTGGTGAACAAGTTAGGTTTAGGGCTTCAGGAGTCTTATTAGACTCTTTCTTCTTTGTTATTTGCAGTGAATTTGATAATAAGAATTGATTGACTCTTGTGAGTTTTATCGAGAGAGTATCTCGTTTATCTTTCTAGAAGAGTTTTATTTCTACAACATTCTAGAAGACATAAATCCTTCTACATATTAATATTCTAGAACTTTTAATTCTGATACGGGATATAATATCTGTCTGAATCTACAAAGGATTAAAATAATTCGTATTCGAATAAATATTAAAACATTATTGATCTCCCCATTTAGCTCCAAATTATATAATAATTCGGCCCTCTCTTATTTATTTTTAGTTGATTGAACTCTCCCTATGTTTAAGATACAACGTCCATTAATCAATTTAATCACTGACAATTAAAATTAATTAATTTTTTTATCCAAAATTAGTACCACTCAATTCTTAATTATGTTGGAAATTAATCAGCCTGCAAATTAACATAATATATTCTTCCTGAGCTCATTTCACGGACTTCATCAACCCAACGAACTGAGACATAGTGACCGTAAACAATTTCAATGACACATTATTTAAACAATATTATTCACCGAAATATTGAGTATGTCATCATGATTAAAATGGAAATCATACTTGGTGAATTAAACAAATAAGTATTGAGTACATATGACCGTTTATTGTCTTACGGGTTAAAAGAACGCATTAATTATTGAAGTTTAAATTATTTACTTGGTCAGTATAAAATAGTCTTATCCTCCGTTGGTCCATTCAATACACCCTAAGATGTACTAGTTTTATTCATCAGTCAAAGATCAACTTAATCAAAATTACACTACAATCTTTCACAACAATAGTTTAATTTCGTCTAGGATGTTAATCATTTATATTTTACAAGTAACTGATAATATGATTTTTGTGTTCGACACATCGAACCATATTATCTACAGTGTAAAATAAATGAACTTGTACTCACATGAATAAATAAACTACAAACCCATGTTTTAAATACCGTACCGTACCGGCCATTGGTACGGTACAATTACACTCAAAATACCGGATTTACGGTTATACCGGTTTGTACCGGGATCATACAGTAAAAACCGCAAAATACCGGTCCAAAATACCGGCAAAAAAAAAACAAATTAAAAAAAAAATTTCATTTTAAAAAATAAAATTTTAATTGGTAGTTTAAATGTTTTATTTATATCTCATTGAGAAGTTGAAATTAATGATTATGGTCATTTATTTTTTTACTTTTTTGCATTTGGTATTATATACTTTTATGTATATTTATATATATAATTATATTTACTAATCCGGTAATACCACCGATATTACTGGTCCGACCGGTAATACCTCGTACCGGTGGCTAGACCGGTATGACTACTGGTACGGTATTTAAAACACTGCTACAAACACACATATTTGACTAAAAACATTACTTTCATTCAAATTGGAATTGTCAGAAACTGAAAGCCGAACTTTTACAGTATACCCTAACACAACCCTACGCCCTTAATTGGCTTATAGCCTTCATTATATCTTTATCTATTCGTGTATAAATACGACAACCCATGTCCTTCACAAGGACACG